GGCTTTATTTGCCTCCAATGACTTTGGTCCAAACTGGCCGTAAGCCATGTCACTGTAGCTTGATCATTGTAAAACTAAAGAAGAAAATTGCAGAAAACTGAATCAATGAAATTTTGACATACTCAAAGTTGGGATCAGGTTTACATGCTGAAGTTAGGCAAACAAGCCCTCATTGATCAGGGAACATAAGTAAAAAAAAAAGTTTTTAAAAAAATCCTAACTGAACAAATATTTTATCTTTTGCAAGGGTCCCATGAAACTTATGGACTTTCTTTAAGCTTCAATAATATAATTAGCTAAATGAGACCTACTTTGGATTCTGTTATTCTCTTTCTGGTAAAGAGCTGTTTTCTCAGTAACATTTTATTTTCATTTAAAATATATTAAGTTTCCCTGCTATATTCTCTCTAGTGCTGGCAACTTCCAGGAAAATTTACCTGGAATACTAATCCCAAAACAGATTGCCTGTTGGGGTCTAAAACCGGCAGTGAAAAATCTTTTAGTAAATTATCTCTACAAGATCCAAGATTATTTTCTTAAATATTTTCTCTTCTTGTTACTTACCATACTGCCTAAGACTTCAGTTTTGTAGTACTGTATGATATAGTCAAAGAACCCTGAATGCATATGTACACGTTTTATGTTCAAATCACCATCCTGACCATACTGAAAAATGATTGTTTCAACAAATTTTACTAATGTGAATACATCTATACCAATGTAATGGGATCATACATTTATTTTTGGTAAAATCAGGACTACATCATTAAACTAAGCTTTCTCTGCCTTGCCTTGATATCCTTCCTATAAACATAAGATATTACTTGTTGTTTCTCATGTTTCCAAGCATCTCGCATCACATCTCCAGACACCAGCTCTCCTTCTAGACGCATCAACTGATCATGAAGCATTTCTGATTTATTTTCTGATTTTTTGGCTCTTTGCAACACCTCCTGGTGCAACATTGTCTGAGTCTCCAGCGTCTCAGTAAGTTTGCTTATTTGGGCTTCAAGCTGGGATACCATCTGGGAAACAAAAGGAAACTTAAATCAGAGATTGAGGATGAAACTAATCTGTCACACAAGAAAAATCACCAATTATAAGGAGCAGTAAAATGCTACTCAGCAAACAGGAAAAACATGAACACTTAATCAGAAGGACTTAATGCACTGAAATAAACAGTTACCACAGTGTAGCATATATGGATTATGGTCAAATTCACAAAACTCACCTAGCTACAATTTCTTACCCTGGATCAGTTGGGGGAAAAAACCACTTTCTCCATTGGTTGAAGTCATATAATATCATACAAAGCTATAAATTGTGGCTTATGAACTGCAAAAGCTAGATTCACACAATATGCTAAGCCAATTGCAAACAAACCACAATTACAGCAACCTGTGAAGCAGACATTATATTCATATACACCTTGAAAATTCAAATAAATATTCTGCTAATGAAAATGGGTCAATACATACTCACTTAAAGTTTATTGATAAATAATGGTATAAACCTGCCAGATAACCATTGTTACACTAATGCAAGAATATTTACAGGTATGCCAGAATCTGATATTAATTTACATTAAACAACTTTTTTTCTTTCTTTCTGTTCAATCATGTCTGATTCTTGGAGAATGCCTGGACAAGTCCCCACACTTTTCTTGGCAAGATTTGAGAAGAGGTTTGCTATGACCTCCTTCCTAGAGCTGAGAAAAAGTAACTAGAGGGACTAGAATCTTGTTTTCATAATCTCCTGTTTTCTAGCCTGTTGCCCTGACCCAGGGGTAGGCAACCTCGGCTCTTTTATGACTCATGGACTTCAACTCCCAGAATTCCTGAGTCAGCCATGCTGACTCAGGAATTCTGGGAGTTGAAGTCCATGAGTCATAAAAGAGCCGAGGTTGCCTACCCCTGCCCTAATCACTAGACAAAACTGGGTCTCAGAGCAATATTTATTCCATTATTAAACTTCCAGTTATGGAAAACTGAGAAATTAATGCAATGTTAGTTTTTGGTGTACAGTGCTTCCCTTGTAATGTCCCATGCTTTCATTTAATTCTTGAAAATTCTATAACATTCAGATAAAACCCTTGCCGGTACCACACAGCATATTTTAGGAACTATTTGCTCCGAATGGCTGATGCAGTTCGATTTTGGATAAATACCATCTCTTGCTGTATATGAGCATGGAAAATCTTTTTTTTAAAAAAATATTTCAAAAGACACTGCATATGAAAGTACAGAGGTTTCCTAAATGAATGAATGATAAGAAGATGGGTAGGAAAATAGGACACAAGCAAAGGTGAGATTCCAAGCTCTACTGTCTATAGCAGTGGTGGCGAACCTATGGCACGCGTGCCAGAGGTGGCACTCAGAGCCCTCTCTGTGGGCACACAGGCCATGCCGTCCCTCTTCAACCAGCCGTCCACTAACTTGCTGAGGTCCCATATGGCCGGATACATCCCAGCACCCATGCACTCGCTGGCCTCTGTGTGCGGGGGCCGATGGTGTCAGGCAGCATCGCCCCTGCCCCTGCCATACCTTGCCCTGTGACAATGGTACCCACACCCTGCCTCGCCTTGCCTTGCCTCACCTCACCCCGCAGGACGAGCCTCCTGCCCACCGCCCCACCTGGCAGAGACCCTCTGGATCTCCCCCAACCCTGCCCGGACCCCACAGGCATTCCTCCCCACGAGCAATATTGAGGTGATCACGCCCACCTTGGCCACTCCCACTCAATCTGCCATGACCACCACAGCCACGCCCACCCACTGGGCCACACCCACCTGGCACCCGGCGATAAATAAGTGGGTTTTGGGTTGCAGTTTGGGCACTTGGTCTCTAAAAGGTTCGCCATCACTGGTCTATAGGGACCTGGAATAAAGACATACTGTACATACAGTAGGTCTCCTAGGGTTTTACTTCAAAGTTATTGTGTAAGAAGTCAATAAGACCATATTCTGATCAATGCCCACACCCAGAATCAAGAGTATGGCTATTGAATAAATTGGCATAATACCTTCTAAGACAGGGGTGTCAAACTGCCGGCCCGTGGGCCGGATGCATCATAGCAAAACCGTGCCCACCCCATTGCCGGGAATGGCAAAAAAAGTCGCAATACATCACGATACGTCACGTGACGTTGCGAGTTTGACACCCCCGTTCTAAGATATAAGGCAAACATTTACTTTCTATAGCTATGTAGGGTTGAATCTCAATCAGTTGAAATGTAGTAAAACATTTTAAAATTAAGGTTGACATGGTTGTGATGCCACAGATTTTAAGCCAACAGAAGGTAATAAATAAAACCTAATCTAGTGCAGTCATAGCCAAAACCAAAACAAATCCCATTACACAAAACCATAGAAACAATAACATCTGTCTTAAATATGCTTTATTACTTGTATGAAGCTTCCATAAATCTCCAAATGGATAAAATGAACATTATTGGATTCTATTCATAAGATTGTTCAAAATTAATTGTATTTCTCTGCAGAACTTTATAGCTTATTTTTTTTTGTTCCTATTCAGTCCCCCACCCCCCCCCACCCCTTGAAAGCTGTTAAATAGTTACCCTGACTAGCAAATGCAGTCCTTGTGTCTGCAAGCTGGCCTCATTTTTGCTAGCATTTATGCAGGCAGTGTTCGCTAAAAGCTTCAGCATTTAAAATTACAAAATCTCAGATACAGATAGATAACGTTACTCAGGATGAGACCCCAAGAAAAAGTCTGTATGGTGATGTTATGAAATGTATGAACAGCAATACAGACAAGCAAATGGAAGAACTGCAGCTAAGAACACCAGCTAAACCTTAGGCACACATCAACCAGCTTCTAAACCTTGGTTTCTCCAGATGCGTTAGGTGAGAGCTCTCATTCTTCCCTGCCAACACAGATGAAACCATCTGTGGAATTCCAGACCCAAAAAGATGAACGAGGTCATTTGTTCTCAGCAAATAAAAAATAAAAAAATGGGCAAGGGAGAGAGAAAAGCCTGCCAATTCTCTACCAAGATGCATAAGCTCCCCACACAGCTGAAAGCATACCAAAAGGACTTCAGATGCCCTGCAGTATATTTATAGCTATTAAAACTGCAATGATTCTTTAGCTTGAGATAAGAGAATTTGTTTTCAACAAAGATACTCATTTCCCAGATGTTCAGCGAGGACAATAGTCCAGGGAAAGGAACAATCCATGCAAGTTTTCATTTTAACTCTCTGAGTACACCATGCACCGTAACGTTTCTTCAGTAATAAGATTGAAAGGAACTGGAAACAGGTGGCTCATCGTAAGTTAGTTCCGACCAAACAAAGTGAAGAACAAATAATTTAAGACATTTTGTCCAAGGGATAGAAATGATTAGCTATAGCACAAACATCACATTATATTCTCCTTTTGCAAACAACCAGCAAAAGTAAGCCTTGCAAGATGCTGAAGCATAGCCAGATACACGAAATAATTTAATAACAATACGTTTTTATAAACAATGATATACATAGGCATGTATATGATGCGTGTGTGTGTATGTGTGTGGGTGGGTACATACACCACATGTGGATGATATTTCTCTGTGTTAAAAAATCCATACATGGTTTTGCTGCATGCTTTTCTAGATTCAGTAAGCCAGGAGTTCGGTAAGCCAGAGCTCACTAAATTTGTGAATACGTCCAAACTAACCGTGTAGAACACAATGTTCTTTCCTCCTGAGGGATAATAGTACAACATGCTCAAGCCCCTTTTGCTATTGTATAATAGTCTGAGTTCCTGAGCTCCAAATTCAAGCTCTCCTTGCTGGTGGACATCATTCTGGAACAATGTAAATAGGACATTCATCTTTTTTCAAATCTATTCTGTGCTAGGAATGTGTCACAGATTTTCAGCAAATGCATTTGACTTTTTCCCCCCCACCTTTGATTTTATGAAAAACTGCAATTTCCTTTTGCCCATTATATTATAGTACCCTTAAACATTTCTGCCAAATGTATTCAGGTACAGGTGGAGCACTTAACCCCATTGTCAATCCTAGCAATGTGCTCTTCTTTCACTAATGAAGCCCCCAAACCCTCTTTCTGTTGTAACCGAGGCATCCATTCTTCTTCCCATGGGGATGTCACCTCAATGTGTTTTCTTTCTATAATATGATGTCAAGTGTGTCCTGTTATCGGTGTAGAGGGATTACATAAGCAGCTTGCTGAATTTGAAAGGTTCCATAAGTTTTATCATCCTTTGCATTTCTAACAATACTCTTTGTCACAAGCGGTAGCATAACTAGGGTATTTTCTTTTCATGATTATTTTTCATCTTTCTGCTATAGGCTGCTGAAAGCCATTGGGAGAGGAGTAGCATAAAAATGTCAGAAAAGAAGAGAGAATGCTGAAAGCTTTTACAACATTTCCGCTTTACCCTGATCCTGTCCATATGCAGGATTCTGGTTGGGAATTGTGGGAGTTAAGAGTCCCAAGACAGGCGGCCAAAAGCAGGTTGACGTAAAGTATTTCTGCCTCTCTCTCCCAACCATACATGTGTATTTCTCTGCAATTGAGTATTTTCAGGACTATTCAGGAAATAGCTGTGGTATTGCAGCATAGACAATTGAGCCAGCTCATTGCAATAAATCACAGAGGCAACTGTTTACTAAACATCAAGCACTCAACTTTATATCCTGAAAGTTTAGTGGGCCTTTTTACTGCACTAATAGCTATACTAAGTTTCCTGACCACAAGCTTGGATTATTTAATTGGAAATTTACTTGTTAAGGAATTATTATTATTATTATTATTTTTTAAAAAAGCATTTTATAGCACATTTGGATTATCCAAAGTTATTTAAACTACAATTGGGTCATCATACAGAAAACCAAGAAATTTAAAAAGTGTTCATGAGCAACCTCTACTGGATCTGTGACATAATGTACCCTCAATGTAGAGGAAACTAGACTGTATTGAGGGGCATTTGAGGCATCTTGAAATGGTCCTTGACAATTGAGTCCAAAAGTTCCATTGCTAAGTGAGACATTTGTTAAGTGAATTTTGCCCCATTTTATGACAGTTCTTGCCGCAATTGTTAAGTTGTTGTTAAGTGAATCACTGAAGTTGTTAAGTTAGTAACATAGTTGTTAAGTGAATCTGGCTTCCCCATTGATTTTGCTTGTCAAAAGGTTGCAAAAGAGGATCACATGACCCTAGGGCACGGCCACTGTCATAAATATGAGCCAGTTGCCAAGCATCTGAGTTTTGATCACGTGACCATGAGGATGCTGCAATGGTCATAAGTCACTTTTTTCAATGCTATTATTGTAACCTCAAACAGTCACTAAATGAACTGTTGTTAAGTCGAGGATTACCTGTACTAATTTCGCCTGTAAAGAAATATAATCCAAGCAATGCATTTATAAAAAGATTGTATCAACAAATGTGGAGCTGGATTTATTATCCCAGGAGTATCTCAACAGTTGATTAATAAATACCTGCAAGACATATTTAAATCAGGCCTGTTCTTTGTCATTGTTACTTACTCATAGGACATTCATGTTCAAGCAGAATATTTGACCAGAGTGGCTGGAAATCTTTTGGGTTATAGCCCCAGCACATATGACTGTACTAGATTAAAGCTGTTTATTATATACCAAAGGGCTCTATTTTATTCTCAGGCAGTTTAAAATCTGACTCTGAAAGAAGGGTCGGTTTGTTGGTGAGCACTATCACCCAGATTATTTTTCCTTTTCTACAGAATTGGATGCTGAATCAATCATCTTCTAGAGTTGATCATGAAGTAGAAGACTTATAAAGTATACAATCCAACTAAGATAAAATGGTGCCTTCAGAAAGGATGATCTTCACCCTTTGTTAAAAGGTCGAGTTTCTCATCTTAGGATACTGCTAGATTTGGCTTTAAGTTTAGATCAGAGGTCTTCAACTTGGCCCTTTTATGACTTGTGGACTTCAACTCCCAGAATTCCTCAGCCAGCATGCCTGGCTGAGGAATTCTGGGAGTTGAAGTCCACAAGTCATAAAAGGGCCAAGTTTGAAGACCCCTGGTTTAGATGCTCCAACAGCTCCTACTCTATCATTTATTACCAGAGGAAAAGATAATAAAAGGCTTTCCCTCAAATTATATTACCTCTGGATAGTGAAGGTGGTTTTAAGACATAACATTAATAGACATTAGAAGGGGATGGGAGGAACACACGGCTGCAAACATTGCTGCTCAAAAGCATGAACACTCAATTCATGTTTTATTTCCTTTTTCCTTCCTTCTTCCACCTCATATTTTTTATCAATTGTGTTTTATTCTTACTCTTTTTGTTGAAAGGCAAGGAGGGAAGAAAACGTTGCATACATTTGTATTTGCACACTTCTGAGTAAGTTGGAATGATGTAATTTCATTAGTATAAGCGAGGAGAGGAATTTTCCTTGCATTTCAGAGATGGTGTTTTACAGGCAATTAGTATTAATCGGTAGTTATTGATTGATTATCAGTAAGTTTTGCCTGTGTTGGTGAGTGATGATGATGATTAATCTATAAGTTTATTTAGAAAGAGAAATTGTCTTAAATTTGGGGCATCCTTTCTTTCATGTAAATACAGTAAAATCCAAGACATGAATAGTCAAGCTGAAAAGTGGGAGGGAGGGGGGGGAACTAAACAACATCAACTAAGATAGAGGATGGAGGTGACAATGTCGCCTTAAGCCCCCCCCCAAAAGGAACCGCCATATATTTATTGTGATATGAAAAGTCTGTAGCAATGACAGTTAAATTACTAACCGGGACTGAACAGTATATAATACACAACAAATGATCACCTTTTCATTGCCCTTTGTTTGTAATGATTTTAAGGATGGGATTATAGGTACGGGTCTAGCGATTCTTTCCCCCCATTTTATTCCTAGATTTTATTCTGCTTAGAGTTGGTTCAAAGTGGGCAGGATATAATGTAAATTAAATAAATAAAGGTCACCATGTGCTCCTTTTAATAGACTGCAATTTAAAGATGTGCTTTTCTTTAATGGGTTCTGCTTTTTTTCTTGTGATTTCTCCTGCAATCATTACATACAGAGCAACTGCTATATAAACTATTATATCAAAATAAAACAACGGTATGTCTTGTCAGTTTAGAACAATCGCATCAAATGTCATTCTGTCACCACTTACAATTAGACAATCCTATCAATTCGTGGATTAATATGAAGTGAACTAAAATAAAATCTATACACAGGAATAAATTAAGGACGCTGAAGAAAAATAAGACAAGTTAACGTACTCTTTTTTTGTTCTCCTCTCTGTGGCACAACTCTCGGATTTTTTCCACAATGTCTTCCTTGGATGGAGTCGCCACCATGGGATTACATCCTAGTAAAGTCCCCATTTTGTCTTTGAATTCATTGTGCAGCTTTTTTTGTTCCCTGGCCTGCTCTAGACAAGTTCTCAGTTCCGATTCTTTTTCCTTGCTATGGACCTTTAGTTGGCTCAATTCTTCCCAAGCCCGTTGGCTGGCTGCCAGTCTGTCTTGGAGGCTTCTGATCTCCTCCTCAAGATTCTGCTTAGCTCCTGCAATGTTGCTTAGGTCCTAAAATAAAAACAATAATAATATTTACAGAGGAAAAACAACGGTTATTTCACAACACATTTCCAGGAGAATAACAGATGCCCAATGTGCACTATTACTAAAACTTGCTTTCAAGAGATGCATGGATAGTTTCTGCTGAAAGAAAATAAATTATGAATCCAGAGATTTGGAACAATCACCTCAATAGGTGCCGTTGGGTAAACCTTCAAAGTCCTGCCATTGACTTCTGCCATGATTTTCTTTCAATATAATGTAGGCCGGACCCCAAATAATTTGATAAGTACAAAAGACCTTTTATTTATTGAAGGCCATTGTGGATCCAAGTCATGAATGATTCAGCATCAGCAAAGAAAGAGGGGGAATTTTTGATTTGTTTCTTGCCATACTGAGTAAAGTCAGTCCACCCAAACTACAAGGCTGAAAGTGCTACTTTTTAACTCCTGCCAAAGTCTTCACATTGCTTTAACTCCCCAAAGGACATTAATTGGCGCAAATGATGCAATTCCTGAGATTTGTAGAATGTCACCATTATGCAAATTGGTGTGAAAGGTGTCATTTGCTTTGCTTGTTATACAAATGAATTACTAATACGATTTAGTACTAATACGATTTAGTACTAATTACTAAATAATTTATCTTAGACTTAACAAACATTCAGGATTATTAGATAACTTTGAATGATCTGTTACATGAAGGTTTTTACTGTAGTGAATTTAATTCACTTAGATGGCTGCCCGTCTATCCATAGTTATTCTGGATAGTTAACAACAGGTAAAAACACAGCTGACAACTAAAATAAAATACATAACTGGCAGCAAAGTAAAAAAAATCAAACTACAATTAACATATAACCATTTCACAGGCTCTGACTGACAGATACAGCCAAGGTGGGGGCCAATCTGATCTCGGGGAGGGATGATGTTCCATAGGGCAAGCTCAAAGACAGACATGGCTCTCTTCTTGGATCCCTCCAGATGACCTTCCTTAAATGATGGGGCCCATAATATGCCTCTTCTGCCAGATCTAATGATATGAATAGAAACAATTGGTCAAAAGCACTCTTGGATTTGTTGAAAAGAAAACGTTGGGAACAACTGATGTGGAACAGAAGCTAGAGACTTTTGATTTTGATTGTTTTGTCTCTGCCGGTGTGTGCATGCATGTGTGCGTGCGTCCGTGTTTGTGTATATATGTGTGTGTTAGGAGATGACTACTTTCAAAAGCCAAAATGACATTTGAGCTGTGAAGGATCAGAATTATTTATGTAATTGTGCCCATCTTAAATACAGGTGTTTTTTTAAAAAAAAAAAAAAAAAACCAAAAACGGTTAAATACATAGTTGTCACCATTCAAACCTATTCTAATTGAGGCCATCACAGCCAATATTATCTGCTTTTCTGCATTTTGGCATGCTTCCATTTAATTTAATTTAATTTCCCTGGTACTTTTCTTAAAAAGATTTGGCAGGAAGGGGAAAATTACTCTGGTGACAAGAAATAAATTACAG